TTTCTTATTCTTTCACTATTAGTTAACTTTAACTATTTAACTATTTCCTTTTATGACAAAAAATACACATATGTCAGCATATCTGGCAGTGACTAATTCTTTCTAAAGTAACGAAAGGGATACTAACATAGAAGAAGACAGGACCAGAATGTCTTCCAACATTATCATCAAAGCCCTTCCCTAATGCTTGGTCAATGTGCTGCTGAAGGAACACATTAAAACTGTGCTCTGAAAGGAATATTACGATTAATAAAAAATGTCCTGAACATCTAATAGTTTTCCTGTATTCTTCCCTTCTTTGAACCTACTAAATGTACCTACGTTATCAAGTACATGATTTTCTAAACATTATACTCCAATTAATATTTATATAATACCAATGACAACTTCATGGCTGAATACTATTTATGACAAGATATTATTATGATATACTGCCAGATTTGAAACTTGTACTCAGGAATCATACATATCTCCCTCTGGCAGTGGTTCTTTTACCTTTTTAGAGTCACAGACCCCTTCATGAATCCGATGAAAGCTATGGAGCCCCCTCCCCAGAAATATTCACATATACATAACTTTGCATGCCTGAATGAGACATATATTTGTCTACTAATATGTCTATTATTTGATGGTCACCTATTTGAGATATGCAATGTATTATCAAACATTAAAATAAACTATCTAGAAAAAAAATAAATATAAAAGTTAATTTTGCTCTGATCCTCCTAGACTCCCTGAAACCCCAGGATAAGAACACCTGTTCTACGGCATGCAAAAAGACTACATCACTGAAAGATACATTCATTTATCTCCCAAGGCCACCTTAAAGAAGGTGAGGTGAGGTGTGTATGACAACTCCAAGCAAGTTTGACAACCATGGCTCATCACACAATGTGTGACCAGTCTTACTTGTCATAAATGTGGAAGGTTTCCCAAAACCTGGCTAGAATTTTTCAGATGACTAATGAACGAGACATATATTTGTCCACTAATATGTCTATTACTGGCAAGATTTCACTTGTTTACTTGTACATCTAGATCCATCTAAATACACATTTTATTGTTTTCTATAATAAAAAATATATATTTCATCTGTGTTTTATTTACATATTTATATCAATCTATCCCCATTTTCATTCATTTTAATGATACTCACTGTTTTTGAGATATAATAATGAAATATAAATTTTCTAGTACATAAAATTGAGCTCTTTAAATGTCTAGGGAACTGAAGCCTTTTTGTGGATGTGGAAACAGACAAGCTAAAGGGTTGTGGTTCTTAGGAATTAATGTTAGATATTACCCTAGATAAATGGTGTTTGGAGATGAGCTATTGCCATCCATGGTCATTTTCATTTCTTATGTTTATTCATGAAGTGCATAAGATGCCTGACTGCATATTCAACTCTGGCATTGGGATACAATAATAATTTAATTACTGTGTCTCCAATCTCTCATGAAAATACAAACCGAGATTTCTCTTTCGTTCCGTTGCAACCCCAGACAAAATTGATGCGCTGAGAGAGTCAGCAGCTGAAGTATCCGAAGAGGCTGAACAGGCTAAAGATGTATCCCAAGCACTTGTTGCACCTGAAATGCTCCCCCAGTTACCAGTTCCTCTGCTTCCTCCTTTTTCTGAGGAGGAGGTTTTGTTGCTTGATCCAATGGTCAATTGGCTTAATTCACTGCTTAAGTTAGAATCTGCAAAAAAAAAAAAAAAAAAAAAAAGGAAAAATAAATCATGTAACAGTAAAGAATGATGGCTACTTATGGATAGACTATAAATTATATTTTTCAGATGTTCTATTGTGAGATGGAGCACACACCTGATGCTGAGCAAAGATTATGAAGAGTGTCATTAATCAAGGAAGCAGCTGGCACTTCCTCCTGCCCTTCCTCCATGATGTATACATACGCTTGGTTGTTAGGAAGAGCAAACAAAGAATTTGCACTGATGAAAAAAAAAAAAAAAAAAAAGATTTGATCAGATTATTCAACAATCAACCACATACACATAGTGAATATATCATAAAATACATATATTTATAAATGCACTGTCTCTGTAAGTTTCACTCTGTAACAAAATTAACAGTTAGATACCTGATGTTGGTTATGACTCTACTTTTGCGAAGGAGACGGTAAATTTGATCTTCCAGAGCAAGTTCCAGATTTCGAAGAGGGCTTGGTGGGGTGGAGGTTCTGTATGACCTGTGGCCTCCCATAGATCTGGGCAAAAGTAACGCTGTATATTAATTCCCTATAATATATGGGAAATAGGACAGATTAAAAAATGAATGAAATATAATGTTCTCAGAAAAAGAAATGAAAAGAAAAAGTTAAACATACTTTCCCTTATGGAAAGACGTGCAATATGCTTTATATTTGTTTTATCTATGTTCTACAATATTTCTTACCCATTCAATTAACCCCAAACTGATGGGTGTGGCATGTACGTACATGCCATGCCTGTTGAGTTTACTTCATTAATTGTTTTTATACATAGCTGGTTCCACTTGTACTAAGTCACCAATGAGCCAATTATGATACTCCTTACCTCACCTGTTTACCCTTTTCCTTGATTTTTAAAAATATTTTATGTTTTCTCATATTGCCACTACTAACGTCAATAACATTATAATAGTTATAATGTCTATATAAAAAATAACACTATCAATATTGAGAGCATTAGTAGAAAAAAACTTTTTCCTGCAAATTCAAGGAAACATGAAATCAGGTAAGGTCACAAGGTCTACTAATTAACTCCTTTGTTGTTAAGCTCTAGCAGAGCCATCTATATGCATAGATATTTCACACACACACACACACACACACACACACACACACACACACACACACACACACACACACACACACACACACACACACACACACACACACAAAATAAATAAATAAAAAAAAAAAAAATAAAAAAAAAATAATAAATATATAAATAAAGAAAGAAATAAAAGAAAGAAATTGAGCACAGCATTTTCCTGGTGATGGTAGGTTAATAGGAAGTAACAGCTTATGACTATAGTTAAAATAAATTGAATGCAAATAAATATGATAGTAGTATAGATGCTATCTGCTAGGAAGATTTACTTTTTTCATCATACAAGGAATAAAGATACTAAAAACTAGTAATCATAAATCATAAATAATAAAGAAATACTGAAAATCTCTCATTGATCAGACATGTATCTCTTGTGAGTAAACAATATAAAACGAACTTAGACTGCACAAGAATATATTTCAAGTATACCTAGACTTCGACTGCACAAGAATACATCCCAAGGACACCTAGTCTACCTGTGAACAGCTGAGTTGTCCTGTCCAGACCGAATCTGTGCTGGCAAGAGGTGTGATGAGAAAATGAAGAGAACCCGAGGTGCGCACAGTCGACCAAATGAGACCCAGTCCTTGCTGATTCCCGGCACAAGCTTAAGGGTTTCTGCTATGTAATTCTGGGCTTTGGACCTGTTAACAAATAACTATTAAAACTATACCCTAACAAAAATAAACAATATCCTAATAAAAGTTATCATTACATACTCTTTTAACACAAATAACAATGAGGCTGCACACTCATATGACACAAACTGTAATGGAAAAGACAAAAAGTAAACAAAACAGAAGACAACATACCTGATTGTATCTAGGGTACGGAAGAGATGAATGTAACTAATATCAAAGACATGCGTTGGATGGCACAGAAGCAGCAAATGAGAGACAGAAAACAGCACCAACAGACTTCGTGCATAGGCCAACTTGAGGCTGGACCAGGCCATCAGGAATCCCTGTTTAATTCAATAATGTCAAGTTTTATTTTAGTATATGACATGATACCTGCCAGATTATGATCCTCCTTCAGTAAACTGAAGTAAATTATAATAATATACAGAAAAAAATATCTGATTCTTAATCCAACATATTTCAAGAGTAAAAAATAATCATTTTTCAGTATTTTGCCATCTTACAATTCTTCATGTGATATTTATGAAAAGTAAAATGACCTTTAGAGAATACTGAATACAGGGTTTGCATGACACACTCATAAATATGGGCATCAAATTTGTCCTTCTGCAGACATTGCACTACCTAGAAAGAAGTTAATTTCCTGAATATCTAACTTTTCACAAAAAACAAATCAAACATGAACAGTACCTTTTCCTGCAGTTGCTGGTGCATGGTTTCTAGGGCACTAATGAGAGCTGCCGTGTCATATGCCCCAGTCAGGTGAAGGTATATGGCTCGGCGGTCAGGATCATAATATCCTTCCACTCCAGTCTGAGTTACAAATGACAAATAAAGGTATGTTTCATTATCTACACAGTATCATCAAGAGTGGGTGATGGAAAGTATAAACAAATGGTATCTATTTTTTGTGCTCTGGTTCTCTGGATAAATATAATACCATGGTAATGGTTAGCTTTAGGAAACAGAAAGATAATATGAATGCATGAATGTAACATATAGGTGAATTATGGCTCCTTAAAAAAGGAAAAAAGAAAAGAAAAGAAAAGAAAAGTAAAAAGAAAAGGAAGAAAGTAAAAAGAAAGAGAAACATACAGTCTAGAGGTAGATAGATAGACTAACTGACTGATTGATATAATTTCTAATGTAATGTCTTAGAGCCATATATCTCAATCATTACTTTCTATTAAAATATGACAAAAGTAACCCAGCACTTATCTTCAGCAGAGCTACAAAGCCAGCACATACCATAGTCTCTTCATCTATAGCAATGGGGTGCGTCATGTCCCTCTGGAAGATCTTCCTTCCCACCATTAGCTCCAGGGCTGTGGCTTTGCATCCTCCCGAGTCTAAGCCACTCTTGCCAAACACAGCTATGACCACCACACGTTGTTTTGCTGTGGAGTCTCTGGAGCAGAAAAATAATCATGGTTGTTGAAGTTATATTTCCGATTGATAAAAGAGAATACTCTTAGCTTGATGTTTTCACCACTTAATAGACAGATAAAACAACAACAACACTGACA